GAATGATTTTTAAAATTGATAGAGAAGGACAGACAGAAGACTTGATCCTTCATCAACCAAATTCAATATTTGAAGACTGTTTTATGATTTTTAAAAGGTTAAAATAAAACGCAATAAATTGAGAGATAAGAAGTTTTGTAGTCTAAATAAAATATATTATAGGTATAAAAACGTTTGGTGGTGTGTGGTAATTCAGGTTTTCCGTGAGTAGAACTATCATTTCCAAAAAGTTTCTATAATTTTGCTTGATTTTTACAAATTTAAAATTTGTATGGAGAATGTGAGGTAGGAAGTTCCAATTCATATGGAATAATGGATTTGTTATGAATTTTAGACTTTTCATTCATTCTTTTGGCCCCAGAGGTTTCCAATTATTCTCAATTCGATCCTATATGACACACGTTCGTCGCGGTGTTGCCCAATAGGTGTAAAGTTAATAAACACGCGTCCCATGTGAAAAAGTATATAAAATAAAGTATTGCCCCTTTGGATCGTGGGATATATTCGTTTCCACATTCCCTGAAAAAATCACGAGACCGGTTCGTTCTTTCGTTGCCGGGCCTGTTGCGACTGGCTAATCGGCATTGACCGACCTTCGAGAAGATCGATAAGAAGACAATAGGAAAGTTGGTCAACTTACCGCCGTCTACGGTGCTTTCTCCGGATCGGAAATAAAGTTTGCCCAACGTACCGCGGCGAAGGCGTAAAACGCGGATTTACACTCTTGAATAATTAAACGCCGAATTTACGACCACCGACTCACCTTAACATAAATGTTTGACAGTACACGATGACGTGCCGTAAGTATTCAATATTCGACGACACTGATTCATGCATTGTAAAAGAAAATTTCCCTCTTAACTAATTTTTATTTTTTAAGTGAACTATGAACAAATTGCAAACAATATAACAAGGACGTCTACACTAGAAACTGTGGGAATTGTTACAAAACAAAAAAAGGTCAATTCTTTCAAATCAAAGCATTGTTAAAATATAACTTTAATTAACACTTGTTCATTTCCGCCCACTAAGCAAATCTAATAAAATTAAAGAAAAAAACACAATAGCTTTTATCTTGTGATATTTGTTCGGCAAAAATTTTGTATTTATTTAGACGGTTTTAATGCTTTCTTTTAATATAATTGTAGTAGACCACAATACAAATGAAATTTGAACTTTTGAAGGTTTTGTTCTGTGTAATTGTGATCAGTACAATAGTTACATTAAATAATTAAAAAATAAAATTAGTGGCGCCTAACCTTCTGAGATTATTACGATACATAAATTTACATTGGCGCTGCAAGGCCGATTTTATGATATGTAGGATGTTATGATACATCAATTAAAAAACGAGATTAAAAATGTGTAAATTAATTTTTTTTAGTTGTGTTCTACTTCCCTACACACAGAATTTCCACGGAAATTATCTTGATATCTTTTGGCACTAATGTGGGACTACATAATTTCAACTTTTCAACTATAATTAAGGAAATCAACATTTAATAATCATAAAATTGTGTTATATTTATGGATTCGGCGGATGTAAAAAAATTGTTAATGTTTTAGAAAATTACCGAAAAGTCTCCATTCTTCTCGAGCAAGCCTTTATTCAAAAAATTATCTTTGATTTTGACCATTAATAGAATTTTTAAACGTTAAAAAATAAAAATAAAAAGGTGATATCAAGTGTTCTAGATTAAAGGCAGTAAACATAAAATTGATTGTGAATTATTTTTAAAATTGCCAAAGAAAAACAGAATATTGATTTTTAAAAGGTTAACTTGAAATTTAATAAATTGAAAGATAAGGAGTTTTCTAGTGCAAATGAAATAAAAAATAAAAATTGATTGAGAGCGATTTTCAAAAATTACCAATATGAAGAATCATTAGACTTGTTTCTTCACGAATCATACAATATTTTTAACCATTTCCTTTATTGTGAACACCAGTAGTTTTTTGTAAATTTCTAAATGGTTAATTTTTTAAAAAAATTGTAAAAATGAAAGAGTTACAGAGCAAAGGAAATGCACAATGAAAATTGATTGTGAATTATTTACTAAAATTGCTAAAGAAGAGCAGTCAATAGAATTGATTCTTTACGAACTAGCTTATTATTTGAAAACTTTTCTATTTTGACTAGTAAGGCTTGTACTTGTTTTTTAAAAGGGTTAAAGTTTTAAAAAATTGTGAAAATGAAATAGCACAATTGATTCTTCAAGAACAGGCGAATACTTTTCAAACTTTCTTTGATTTTAATCGCTGTTTTTCATCTTAATTTCTGTAGGTCTAAATTTTAAAGAAAATCGTCAAAATGAGAGATCAAAAGCACTCCGTTCCAACTTTAAAAAAAAATAAAATTCATTGTTAACGATTTTTCAAAATTACCACACAAGAACAGTCAGTACGATTGATTTTTCAGGAATAAATCAATTTTAAAACTTTCCTTTGATTTTCATCGCTAGCATTTTTCTTATTTGTTATGTGGGTAAAATTTAGAAAGTTGTCAAAAAAGGAGATAGGAAATATTACAGTGCAAATAAAAAAATTGAAGTTGATGGATAACGATTTGCTAAATTTTTCAAAGAAGAATAAGTTTGATTCTTCTAGGGATGGCGAATATTTTTAACCTTTTTTGAAGCACTAAGAGTTCTTTTTGTTATTTGCGAAAGGGTTAAAGATTTGAACAATTGTAAAAATGAAAGATCGAAAGCGTTTCAGTGCAAATGAAACAAGAAAAAATCTATTACAGATTTTTTCAAAAAATTATCCAAGAAGAATAGCCTGTACACTTGATTTTGCGAGAAACAGCTAATATTTTGAACATTTCTTTATTGTAAACACTAAAAGCCCTTATTATTATCTTCTGTGAGGTAGAAGTTTAGAAAACTGAGAGGTAGAAAGTTTTCCAGTACAAAGGAAACAAATAATAAAAATAGATTGCTAATGATTTTTCAGTAGACTTTTCTTTATGAGCTTCTAGTGAATAAAGTGCTAAGTTAATTAATTTGCATAATTACTAGTTTCATTGAACGTTGAAATACAAAATTCTCCAGGACTAGATGCGGAAATTTTGCCCAAAAATGTCATTTTTTTAACTGCAAGGCGTCCCGGCCAATGGATGTATATATTTTATTGATTTACTATCAGCCAATGAGTTTTCCACAATAAAAAAGATACAAATTCAAGTGTTAACAAACAAGCCCGAAAGTGAACTTTTAATAAAAAAAGATTTTCTACAAATTTAAAAAAGCGAAAAAAGTAAGAAAAATATTATCTATTAATTAATGAACCTGTATTGTATATTTTTTTGGTAAGTATTTATTTTGAAGCTATTTTAAGATATATCAATACGCCGTGCTATACTTACGTTCTATTTTATATTTATTTAATTTATTATCATTTTGTTTTAACTAATACATTATTTTTTTAATGCTGTTAGACAAATAATTTTCAATTTTACGGTAAATTTTCTATAATGAAAAGCATCTTAATTTGGGAGATGGTAAAGCTCAGGTAATAAACGATCAACAGCGAGACTAAGCGGACCGTAAAAATTGCGAATTTAATTATTATCAATCTTTATATTCGTACAGTAGAGGAGTTTGACAACAATGAAAAATTTTAATAAAGCTAATACATTAAAAAATGTATGTAAGTTTTATTTAGAAAACCATTTATGCTTAAGTGTAACTTTTAATCAAAATCGTATACACAGCAAAAGTAAGCTGTAACTTGTCATCATTTTCACGACTGTTCGTGATTTTCATCTTCTTATTATTTTATACGAATATTATACAAGAAACAACAACCATGTTTTAAAAAAAATGATAATGTGAGACAACTGAGGAGGACTAAGCCCTAAAATCCTGCTGCTTACTCTGAACTTTATTAGATTAATACGAAGGACATCAGTGGGTGAAACATAAATTTAACTAGTTTTGCTTATTATTATAATAATCAACGTAAAATCAACATTTGGGCAAGTTATTAAGTTCAATATTAATAAATAAATCGATTATCAAAAACGTTTATTTAAATAAGTTTTTTTACTTTTCGCCCCATAAATAAGATATTACTAGTTGTTGTATTTATTATATATGTTGCTTAGTTATAAAATTATTATTAATTTAATATTAGAAAATCAAGCGAAACTGGGCGGATCATTTTCAGAAATAACTCAACTACTCGGGAGACACTCGAAACAGGATCAACTCTTGGTATATTGGACGTTTTTCGATAATATTCAATATTTTATAATTTTTTTAGTACGAGTTAGGTAGATATACAAACAAGTGGTAAAAAAAGTCCAAATAGTGTAAAGCAAATTTCTTTCGGAGAAAAGCGAGAAATTTAGGGTTAATCAAAAAAAAAATAGAGCTGCCGACATATGCCATTAACTGGAGAAAAACTTGAATTTTGCACACCAAAATTTTCAACATACTCACCCAACGTTCATCATTTCAATCATCTTGTACAAATGTTTAATCATTTTATTTATTATTATTCGATATATCGCTGAAAGGTTAAAATCAAGCAAAGCTGTAACACCCATAACTGTGCTTCTTGATCAAATAAGGTCAGAACATACAAAAATCAGTTCTTAGTTATCAAAGCAAAAATTCAGTAAAAATTGTATCGTCAGGTTAAAACATAGGTTGAACAATCTACTTTTAAACATCAGACTAAATATTATATTGAAAATTCTATAGACAAAAAGTACTACTTATTCATAGCTGCTTGAGCATCTTGAGGTCGAGAGGTCATTTAAAAACAAGTTTAATTTAATCAGAAATTTTGGAAATAATTGTGCGATGTATTCTAAAGTATAACAGTGTAACTTAATGTCTTATTTATTGATTAAGCATTTTTTTATGACGGTGCACTTTGGGGGTGGCTTCAAGCTTCGTTGAAAAACATCTCCCAACTACTTCTTACTGCAAATCAACGTCGGTTTTTCTAACAAAAATTATAAATTTCTCTTCCTGAAAAATCAAGCTTACCTTGTACATCCTGACGAAGGGTTTGGCCGTTTGTTTGGTCCCCCTGTGAACCACGTTCTCTTTTATAGCTATCACGTCCCCACTCCGTTAAAGGTTCGGATGCAAGAGTTTCTTCCGACGGAGTACCTATCTTTTGTTCTTTATCGCTTTCCCTTTATTGGGATTCGAGTACCAAAGAAAACAGGCTTTTATCGCCGACGCTATTATCTTTCTTCTTCTTCATCTTCGATGGACGATCCAGGAAGTGATGACACTGTGAAGTTCCGTAACGCTTTTCGGAGTTATTAAAGAGCATTAGTACAAAGTCGGGTCAACATTTGAATTCTATTGTTTCACCTAATAATAATCACTGGAATTATTGACAAAACTCACGGTTTTATCGAATAATTATTGCTAAATTTGACATATGACAATATTATTTTGACAAACATTCAAATTAATCCGCCCTAATGAGTCCCGTTATAATAATTATATCTGAGTCACTAATTGTTCCGTTATTATCCATCATTAGGGTTTAATTAGTTCTTACAATAATCCAGAGCTAAACATATTAGGGTTATAAGCAGTTCGACTCTATTCCTTTTGATAACGATAAAACAGTGAATGTTCTTCGGCTTGCAGACGAAACGAAACAAAGATTCACTTAAATTTTCGTCTAATGTTCTTCGTCTAATTCGAAAATTTTTGGTACAAATGCTGATTTTCTTATTTCTTAAAACTTTATGGTTCATTCTAAATTATCATCTTAATCAGTATATAAAGGATAATAGACTAGGATAATCATAAATCAATCAATTTATGCGCAAAAAGCGTAGCCATTTTAACATTTTCAACTTTTTATAAATATTTATACTTAGTGTCTTTCCACATATAAACATAAAACATTAATAATTTCATATCGGTTTAAAGAAAGGCTCATTATAGAAGACAAAACAGGGCAATTATCAATCAATTTATTAGAAAACAATTGTGTTTAAACATACATTTAATGTTCTTTTTATATAAAACATAACACGAAAATATTATGTAAAATTAATTTTGTCTTGGTTTTGAGGAAGGGTCATTATATGAGACAAACAGAATAGTTACAAATTTTAAATTTATGAAAAAACAATCACTGTGAACTTCATTTTGTTTAGACATATTTTTAGTGAATGTTCATTATTTCCAAGTGTAAACAGAACACGAAATATATCATGTACGAATAATTTAATATTGGTTGAATAAAGGCGCATTATATGAAACCAAACAGGATAATTGAAAACTAATCAATTTATGAAAAAACAATCATTGATATTTTTAATTTTTTAATATATATCCAGTGTTCATGCATGCAAAAAATATATCGTGCACAAATAATTTGATATTGATTGAAAGGAAGGCTCATTATACGAGACGAAACAAGACAATTACAAATCTCCAATTTATGAGCAAACAATCATCGTTAACTTAATTTTTTTTATATATATTCAGTGTTTATGTATACACGAAATATATCATGCACAAATAACTTGATATTGGTCGAAAAGAAGGTTCATTGTATGAGACAAAACAGGATAATTACAAACTAATCAATTTATGAAAAAAAATTGTTATTTTTAATTTTTTTTATATATATTCAGTGTTTATGCATACACAAAATATATCATGCACAAATAACTTGATATTGGTGGAAAAGAACGCTCATTATATGAGAGAAAACAGGATAATTACAAATTAATCAATTTATGAAAAAAACATTGTTATTTTTAATTTTTTTAAATTAAATATTCAGTGTTTATGCATACACAAAATATATCATGCATTAATAATTTGATATTGATTAAAAATAATGCTCATTTATGAGAAGAAAAAAGACAATTACAAGTCTTCAATTTATGAGCAAACAATCATTGTTAACTTAATTTTTTAAATATATATTCAATGTTTATGCATACATAAAATATATCATGCACAATTAATTTGATATTGGTTGAAACGACTGCTCATTATATGAGACGAAACGGGACAATTACAAATCTCAAATAGATGAGCAAATAATCATTGTGAACTTCATTTTGTAAACTTATTTTTAGTGTGTTTCCATTGTTTCCATATATAAACATAACACGAAATATGTCAAAATTATTTTATATTATTGAAAGGACAACCGGACCCTTGTATTTATTTGCTTATTTTCCTTAATATTAGTTACAAAGATTAATGATTATTTAAAACATAAACCTAACATGAATGACTTGTTTACCTTTATAGAGTGGTGCAAATCGTTTAACACTCTTTACATTATGAAAAAAGGAAATGAGTACAATTTCATCCAATCCAGAACTTGTCGAGTGAATTAAATGGTTTTTTTAAATTGCTTTCTTTGATGAAACAATAAATTTGATTACAAATTTTTTTAAAGCTTGGTTTTAAGGCGAGATCTTGCCCGGACTGATACTTTGGCCAACGGCGGACGTACCGTCAGTTATATAGCGCAAGCCTTGTGTTTCCAGCGTTCTACCATCCACCATGATCTACAGAGGTTTATGGCCAACGAAATTCTCAGTCGAAGAGAAGGTGGTGATCGACCGAGATGTACGATGGCTTGAGACATGTTATTGCTCTTCCGCACTAAGGGACTAGGATACTAGGAAGCGGGGTTTGTACTCCCCAGGCACTGCAGCCTTCTGGCTTATTGTACCTTCCTAGTTCCTTAGTTCAGTGCAATAGACTGTCATTGACCGTCGCTGCAGCAATTTGATTCCGTAAGTTTTTTCGGAAGTTAGGTTAAATCTCCATTGAGCTGTTGCTTCGCATTCGAAGTTGATATGAGTGGTTGTTTCCTCCTCTCATTACATAATCTGCAAATGGGATCATCGTTGTATATACCCATGTTGTGAACATGTTTTCTCAGATGCCAGTGACCGGTTAGTAGTCTTACCACTCCTCTGAGTTTGGCCCTCTGGAATTGCGGCAATTATTTTGCCAGTCTTAGTGAGGATTGTTTCATCAAAAGTTTACTATGTCTAGCACTGCTAGAGTTTATCCTTTTGTTTTGTTTGGATCATTCTTCGATGGAGGATTCTATATATGTTTTTGTTATCCCAAGTATAGGTTCGGGGCCTATGTATGGTCTTGCTCCTCCTCTGGCCAGACTGTCTGTTTTCTCGTTACCAAAATTCCCCTATGCCCTGGCACCCAAGATATCATCAGGTTGTTGTGTTTCCCCAGGTTTCGGAGATTTTGGAAGCATTTACTGAGTAATTTTGGTGTTATTCTTTTACATGCTAAGGCTTTAATGGCTGCTTGGCTAACAGATCTTATGAAGATTTTTTTGCCAATGTAACGTCTTATAAGATTTTCCAGGGCACAAGCATTGATGGCAGGTATTTCTGCTTGAAAGACCGAAGTGTACTTCCCTAATGAGTTTGATTGCTCCTGTTTTGGGCTTGTACAGAAAACGCCCGATCCGGTTTCTTCGTTTGTTTTGGAGCCATCTGTATACAGTATCATTGTATCTGATGCTGTTCTGTGTTCTTCCTCTCCTTTATAGTCCCTTTAGACTTTGCAGGAAGTTGTGAAGAATGTTTCCGGGATCATATAGTCAGTCCCCATTTCTAATAATGGGTGTCTGATTTTGTTGATTATGGTTGTATGCCCGAATTGTTTAGTTCCTTTCCAATTAATTGTTTCTGGAGCCTAAGTGAGCTTTTCCTAGCGTCTCCTTGTATGAATATTTCCAATGGAGGTAGGTTTAGCAGAGCTTTTAATGCATTTGTAGCGTTTGTTCTCATTGTCCTAGTCTTCGTATGCTGCCTAATGTTTGGATAGCTATTTTTTGTTGAGCTTAGTTCCACCAGATTAGTGATCCATAGGTTATTATGGGTCTTATTACTGCCGTGTATAGTCAAGAACCAAAGATAGATATTTAGTTTAGGTGTTGTGAATAGACAGATATTGTAGATAAATATATAAGCAGAGTGATAGATAGGTGACAGAAAGCTATTGTGGATAAATAATTAGCAGTTGTAAATACATAGATACCTACCTTTTATGAAAAGAAAGATATTTAGTCAGGTATTGTTGTTGTGGATAGACAGATATTGTAGATAACAGATACGCAGAGTGATAGATGAGTGATAGATAGCTATTGTAGATACAGGGTGAATTGCTACTCGTGCTACAAACTTCTCCAGTAGATTCTTCACCCTAAAATGAACAAAAAAGTTCATATTGTCCATGGTCCGATTCTCAACCNGGACCATGGACAATATGAACTTTTTTGTTCATTTTAGGGTGAAGAATCTACTGGAGAAGTTTGTAGCACGAGTAGCAATTCACCCTGTATAAGGAACCTTCATTTAACGGCTTCCTTGATAGGTAGTCAACTCCAAACCGTAATTTAAGGATGGACTCCTAAAGCAAGAGAGGCATCAAGTAGAAAGACTCAAATCAGCATCTCGATTGGACACTTGAACAATGGAGGGTGTTGCCTTCACAGATGAGTGAGGATTTGGTTTGTGGCAATCAGATCACCGGGGCCTTTTGTGGAAAAGAAATGGATAACACTTTACTTCTTGGGCCATATGTGATTCACAACCCTTTCAAAGAGATTCAGTTGGAGTGGAATCAACGTCCATGCCCGTGCCGAACTGGTTATGACATAGAATAAATCTTTGACTGCGTTAACATTCCCGCTGTTAATGTTGTTAATTGGTCCTTTTCTTTGAGAAATATACTTCTTAATAAGTCATATGGAATAACCATTTCTGCTAAAGTACATTGAGGAAGTTCTTCTGAAAACTGTGGTCCCATTCGCTCATTTTATGAGAAACAACTACGTGTTAATGCGTGATAATGCTCGATATACTCGATTCTACTTCCAAACTGTCATAATTAATTTTTTTTAAATTAAAATCATGAATCTCTGATCGTTTCATTTGATTTACATTAACATTAGTATGTTAATACGAGCAACTAGTTTTTTTGTCTTAGATTAATTCTTAATTAGTGTGTAAGACAAAGGAGGACAATCATAAATCAATCAATTTACATAAAGTTGAAATACATCATAATGTGATTATTTT